GCAATGGTTATGTATTTGGTCTTGGCGGACTAGATCTGCTTAAATATGCTGATACTGCATAAATTGACAATGACATACATACAGTAAATCCCATTGCAGATCTAGGCAGGTGGAGCTGGGGAAGGAGGAGGGCTTCAAAAGGAAATGCAGGACCAGCCTACAGAAAACACTGACTGAACTACTTACTCTTCAGATTTGGTTTGTTGCTGTTCGTTCCACAGAATTCACACACTTTAGCCTAAAGTCGGCATTAAATGAAAGTTGTGATGTTTTTTCTTCCCTATTGTGACATATATCCGAGTGAGACGCTTCTGGAACATGAACAAATCTGGGGCGGGACTTGATGGGAATTGATTGGGTGGTTTGCTATTGGTGGATCTCATATAATGATGTGCAGAGATAAATAATAAATACTGCAATGTTCCTTAAAAACATTTAAGAATTGTGTTTTGATTGTGTTGTGTTCTCACTAAAGATATTTTTAAAACGTGTGCGATTATTAAGTCAAATAATGTGAGGGTGTTAAAGGTATAGCGGAGGATTTTCTTTTTCCGGGTGGGTAATCTATACTATTGGTCCACCTAAGTGTCAATCATTCTGGTGATATGTTTACGTAAGGCCGTCATACGTGCTCGTCCCTATGTAGTTTTCGCTTTCTGCGCATGCGCACTTTCAGGTGTATTATGTGTGATGAGTTACGGTTTCAGCCATTCCTTTGAAAATGGCTGAGGGTCGAAAGAGAAAAAATGTATTCGAAGTGTATGATAAGAAGAGAAAGGCCGCAGAATATAGAAACAAGACCAGAGTGATTTTGGGTGAATATTTCACACGCTGGCGTGCGCTAAAAGCACAGGTTGGGCTTCCCACTGATGCCGCAGTCGCGGAGATTCTACTAGACAGGTAAAGTTTGTCATACTATTTGGAGAAATCCATTTAAAATCACTGCTAGTAAAAGTTAATGTAAGCTATGATTAGTGATGCTAGCCCTGGCACAAGTCATGCAAATAGAGTGTTGCGCATGTGCATTTTTTAAAAAATTGGAGAGGGCGGGTCTTCTCTAAAATTCGGAAAGATCCTCCGCTATACCTTTAAAAATAGTGAAAAGGTGAACCTAAAAGCATACAGGAAAAGGACACGGAGAGCGACAAATGAAGCGAAAAAGGCAGAGAGCATCTCAGTGGAGAGGACTCTGGAGACGTCGCCCCATTCTGAGGGTAATTGAGCTCCGTGTGGCGGCAGACTCAGTCCTGTCAGTCTCCTGAAGCCCCATTTGCTGTGTTTAGCAGGTTGTGTGCTGAATACAGATGCAGGGATGAAAAGACAAGCACAGACCGTACGGCACACCGCAATCACCGGCCAATCTAGTGTCACAGCCCTCTTACCCCGTCTGTCAGTCTCTCTCTCTCTCTCTCTCTCTCTCTCTCTCTCTCTCTCTCTCTCTCTCTCTCTCTCTCTCTCTCTCTCTCTCTCTCTCTCTCTCTCTCTCTCTCTCTCTCTCTCTCTCTCTCTCTCTCTCTCTCTCTCCTCACACCCAGATCCGCCCCAGGCTGACGGAAACGGGCCAGTTCTCGGCTCAGCCGCCTCAGGTAGCGAACGTTCTGCTGGTCTGAATGTGAAATGGAGGTTTTCTAAACGTTCGATGCTTTCTCTCCTGCTCTCGTCGTCTCTTTCAGAGCACATAGCTGCAAGGACAGAGTGAATAATTCATTAGGAATTTAAGTAGTCGGTTTGGAGGAGTAATATTTACCTTATTAGATCTTCCTCATGGTTAATATTTTAAGCCTGAGAGGAAAGTCTGGGAAAATACTTTGCTCAGACTTCCACAAATTGAAAATATACAAGACATGCAATTAATTTGATTAATTAAAAAAGAAAAATGTCTTTCATTTTGCCATGAGAATAAAATAAGCCGCATCTTTGGCTTTTGGTTAGTTGTTTTTTGTTTGAGTCTGACTGGCGGTCAATTTTCACGTGATCAAGTGTTCGTATGGTTGGAAAATAATTCTCTGCTGCGCTCTTGATTGGTTTTAGTCTGCGGTGTTGCCATAGTAATACAAGGAAGAGAGACGAATCATTTGATTAATTCACATTGTTATTTTTAAATGGAAGTAATTTAAAGAAATGAAAAACCCAAACAATAGCAATTATTGCCTCAAATTATTGCCTCTTTTTTATTCAAAAAAAGAAAGCTGTCTTGGTTCTAAACTAATTGCATATTGTTATTGGACTCAGCATGGCTGTTTGCCGCAGTATTGCTTTTTGTCTCATGAGAGTGATGTGATAAACATGCTCATCTGGACGTGATTGACACACACACACACACACACACACACACACACACACACACACACACACACACACACACACTCACAGAACCTTAAGATAACACCATTATTAATGCCAGTGTAGTATTTTATTTTTTATTTCAGTATGTTAAGATTTTTGTTTTGAAATTAATACTTTTATTCAGAATTTAAAGGATGCATTAAATTGGTCAAAAGTGACAGTAAAGGAATTTATTATGTTTCAAAAGATTTCAAATAAATGCTGTTCTTTTGAACATTCCGTTGATCAAAGAATCCTGAAATAAATATTAAGCACAATAATAATAATGTTTTTTGAGCAGCAAATCATCATATTAGAGTGATTTCTGAAGGATCGTGACACTGAAGACTGGAGTAATGATGCTGAAAATTCAGCTTTGATCACAGGAATAAATTACATTTTAAAATATATTTAAATTTAAAACAGTTAATAGTTCAAACAGGTAGATCTATAAAATATGTTTAATTATTACTATTTTATTGTATTTATAATGTTAAACTAAGCATTTCCACATGGCTATTTTCCACCCTTTTTGTTACCTTTTAGTACCTTTAAAATCTCTATATGCAAATGACCTATGTCATGATTGGCTAATCGTATAGTATGTTCATTTCATCATGGTTCTGGCAACATATACCGATTAACCTGCTTTTGCAGCCTGGTTTCAGAAAATCCTTTTTTTAATCCTGTCCTTTAAAGCAAAACCATAATATTCATAGAGTTCATTGTTGTCAGATGATTGCCTAATGACTCATGGTGGCACTTAATGAATATTAATATGCGGTAACCTTTGGCTCGGGGAGAGGAACACATTGTATTTGGAAGTGTACAGGTGTCGTGCTGAGCTGACAGAATAAGGAACAAGCTCCTCACAGCATGAGCAGAAGTCATTAGCAGTCGCTGCTCATCAATCTCCTGCTATAGACCCGTGTGCCACAGTCCAGACCACAGCGCCATTGATTTAACATGGCCTTTCAGGAAACAAGATGGTGGAGTGCAGACATTGAAAAATTGTATGTGTTTTCCAAGCCAATACAAGTTGTCTTTGACTTTATACTGACACCTGTATCTGCGTAATTGGAGGTCATGTGATCTCAATGTGAGTGCCGTCATCAGTCAGAGGAGGTACGAGAAGAAATTTACTGTATACATTATCATTTATCAAAAAGTTATTTTTTTCTTCATGTATTAAACTTCAAGGAAACTTCTACATTTTAAAGCGTTTTTTTTTTATATATATTATTTTAAAAAAATTGTATGTATATGTATGAAATGTATATTTCATATTGTACATTTATATTTAAGTATTGTTTTCTCTCACTGTATCTGTGATCTTGATTAGCATGAATATTGTGCTTTCTGTTTAGCAGCTAAATGTTGCCAGGCAGGGTTTGTGTTGTGGTAACCCGAGCCCAGGTTGCTAACAGAGTCAGAGCTGTCTCTTCATCCAGCCATTCATTCGCCTATTTAATATTCCTGACAAGATCTCAGAACCTTTCAGCCTCATGCAGAACTCGGAGAATCCACAGAATGAACCGAGCGCACAGGTAAATAACCTGTTAACAGATGCTGGTGGTCTGATGGCCTTTACTGCTGATCTCAGAACAGATCTTTGCGTATGATGGTTTATGGTAGAATGGAGAAGAAACGGGATCCTTGTTGAGTGAATAGAGAAAGAGAGAGGTTGTGTGTGTGTGAGTGTGTGTGGGTCTGTGTGTGTGTGTGTGTGTTCATGTTTATATTACATTGTGAGGACCAAATGTCCCCACAAGTATAGTAAAACCTGAAATCACCTACATTGTGGGGACCAGCCAGCGGTCCCCATGAGGAAAACAGCGTATAAATCATACTAAGTAATGTTTTTTGAAAATGTAAAAATGCAAAAAGTTGTGTGTGATGGGTAGGTTTAGGGATAGGGGCAGTGTAAGGGGACAGAATATACAGTTTGTACAATATAAAAACCATTACGCCCACAAAGATGTGTGCGCCTGTTTGTGTGTGTGTTTGAACGAGATGGGTTGGTGGTAGTTGGACTTCTGTCCTATTTGCATTACATTGAGACAAAAGCGTACTGTAAGGCTACCATAACAGACTGTGTTTGGCGATAAGTTTAAGACCTTCATTCTCATGAAGCTCTCTACGGTTTGGATTTTATGAGTACTGTATACGTATGTAGTTTATTACTATACATTTTTGAAAATGCTGAAATATTACAGGCCAGAAACCTGCTCTGTAAGTACTGGAATACACTGTATAGCTTGATGTTTGTTGTCTAGGCTTAAAAATAAGCCATATTTTTACATTCTCTGTATTTAACTTTACATGGCAGGTATGTACATGTTATTCAAACAAATTGTTACAATGGGCTCTAATGCATTTTTGTCAGGATCTGTTATTAAAGTCGGCATGAAACAGAAGTTGCGCTTGTCTTTTCTTCCCTATTGTGACGTATATCCGAGTGAAACAACTTCTCAAACAAGAACAAATGTAGGGCGGGACTTGATTTTGTCCATTGGGAATTGATTGGATGGTTGTGGTTTGCTATTGGTCGATCTCATGTGAGTGACAGGTTGCCCCGCCCTCATGTAAACATATCATAAAAGAAGAGAAGTTTCTGTAAGAGGGAGGGGAAGTTATTAGAAGATAGTAAACACTGCAATATTTTATAAAACATTGCAGTTTTCTTTCAGCATGCTGTTTGTTTTTCCCCTCAGATGGAAAGGGATTCCTTTGATTTGCCATCACATGACGCCCTCTCAAAGATCCTCCTGGAGTATCTTCATCTCGTCAAAAATCCTAAAACTCAGACCAGGACAGAATCTCTACCACAGAAAAAGTCAAACTCTCGGCTCAACCGAACCTTTGATGTGCATTCACCTAAAAAAAGGTAAAACAGTACCCACATGATGGCTACTATAATTATAATACAGCTTCTAGCTTTGGTTTGAACCTATAATTTCCATTCACTTTTATTTGTTGCTGTAAATATTTCCTTTTCAGTCCATCACTACCTGATTTCAAAAAGTATCCTCATGCAAGTGAAGTCACTGACCATCAAACTAAAGTAAGTAATAAAACTGTAGATGCATATTCTGTATGCTCCTGCTAGAAGTTTCCCAGAAGTGTTGCCTTTCCTCAAAGAGACTTTCAAACTCATTCAGAACCAGACTTTGAGTTATTGGCATAAGGTGTAGTCCACTTTCCATCTTCGGCCAAAAGTATAATTCAGTTTTAACGGGAACGCTTAGAATACGCATACATCCGAACGCATAACCTTTCAAATTATACTCCATTTGATAGTGTAAGCGAACACCGGTGCTCGACGTGCGCACTGGAAAGTTTAAAGATAGAGTAGGCAATGTTTTTCATTTTTTGTTATACTGGTTGAAACTCTCTTCACATCCTGATAGCAATCAATAATAGAAGTGGTCTAAATATTAAAACATGTACATACACTCACCTAAAGGATTATTAGGAACACCATACTAATACTGTTTGACCCCCTTTCGCCTTCAGAACTGCCTTAATTCTACGTGGCATTGATTCAACAAGGTGCTGAAAGCATTCTTTAGAAATGTTGGCCCATATTGATAGGATAGCATCTTGCAGTTGATGGAGATTTGTGGGATGCACATCCAGGGCACGAAGCTCCCGTTCCACCACATCCCAAAGATGCTCTATTGGGTTGAGATCTGGTGACTGTGGGGGCCATTTTAGTACAGTGAACTCATTGTCATGTTCGAGAAACCAATTTGAAATAATTCGAGCTTTGTGACATGGTGCATTATCCTGCTGGAAGTAGCCATCAGAGGATGGGTACATGGTGGCCATAAAGGGATGGACATGGTCAGAAACAATGCTCAGGTAGGCCGTGGCATTTAAACGATGCCCAATTGGCACTAAGGGGCCTAAAGTGTGTCAAGAAAACATCCCCCACACCATTACACCACCACCACCAGCCTGCACAGTGGTAACAAGGCATGATGGATCCATGTTCTCATTCTGTTTACGCCAAATTCTGACTCTACCATCTGAATGTCTCAACAGAAATCGAGACTCATCAGACCAGGCAACATTTTTCCAGTCTTCAACTGTCCAATTTTGGTGAGCTCTTGCAAATTGTAGCCTCTTTTTCCTATTTGTAGTGGAGATGAGTGGTACCCGGTCGGGTCTTCTGCTGTTGTAGCCCATCTGCCTCAAGGTTGTGCGTGTGCGTGTTGTGGCTTCACAAATGCTTTGCTGCATACCTCGGTTGTAACGAGTGGTTATTTCAGTCAAAGTTGCTCTTCTATCAGCTTGAATCAGTCGGCCCATTCTCCTCTGACCTCTAGCATCAACAAGGCATTTTCACCCACAGGACTGCCGCATACTGGATGTTTTTCCCTTTTCACACCATTCTTTGTAAACCCTAGAAATGGTTGTGCGTGAAAATCCCAGTAACTGAGCAGATTGTGAAATACTCAGACCGACCCGTCTGGTACCAACAACCATGCCACGCTCAAAATTGCTTAAATCACCTTTCTTTCCCATTCTGACATTCAGTTTGGAGTTCAGGAGATTGTCTTGACCAGGACCACACCCCTAAATACATTGAAGCAACTGCCATGTGATTGGTTGATTAGATAATTGCATTAATGAGAAATTGAACAGGTGTTCCTAATAATCCTTTAGGTGAGTGTATATCCTCTGTTGAAGTCTCAGGACCAAAAAATATTCATCCAATCATTGCATTCGGTCCGAATGCATTGATAGGATGTCCTACCTGCCTGTCAACATATTAATTTCCATAAAACCACACGCCATGCTAAAAATGCATTTGTTGCTTGTTTTAGTTTAAACTAAAGTTGCGAGTGTCTCTTATCCGCCTCGCAAAAGTGCTTGTCAACGGGGGTCTATTGTAGTCTGCGTCTCCAGTAGTTTTGTTTCTTTTTTTTCAGCTGCAAAACAAAAGCCCAGTGCAGTGGGAATTGATTGAATGGTTGTGGTTTGCTATTGGTCGATCTCATGTGAGTGACAGGTTGCCCCGCCCTCGCGCCAGTAAACACAACACAATTTCATTCATACTACACACATCATACTATATAGAATGTTCTTTTTAACAGTCGGAAAGTAAGTTTCAAACCAAATGTAGTACTTACAGTATGCAACAAATCTGGCTGCGCGCCTACAGTACCTGCGTACTCTACTGACGACGCTATTTACGTCACGTATACTATACGTATACCCTAGCATATGCGTACAAATCAAAGTTTATTTTGGCTACGTAATTATTCTTCATGAATATTCACACCATGATTCGGGGAACTCAAATAAAAAACCCTCCAGACCATCTCAAGGTGACCCTTTGTCCACAGTGTTCACTCTACAGTATGAAGGTTTGATGAAATGGACAGTCTTCGCTTTTCTCATCATATCGGAATCATTGCAAAGCACCCTGCCGACAAAGAAAGAGAGCGAGAGCAGCACATATGTGCTTTTATAATGTGATTGTTTGAAGCAACAGTACAGACTGCGCAGGACCTCTGTCTGCGGCGTCTACGGGGACCAATCTCTCTCTCCATTCACTTTTTCATTGGGTTCAGATGATTCCCTCCGTCTCCTCCCCTCCGTGGGCCCCATCTCATCACCGATCATCATTCTCACCTTGCATGTGTGCCCTTTCAATTAAGCGCTCAATTTCTTTCAGACGACCCCAGGGAGCCACAAGCACGCTGGCCCAGATTGGAATCGCCTAATCGGTCCCTCTCCCACCCCTCCCGTTTCTGCGCACCGACCCCCGACGCAGACCCCCTTCCTGCACACAGTGACCCTGAGTGAAAAGCAGACGCCTCGGTGGCATGTTACATGACATGCGACATACGACTAACACAATGGCACAAAAGGATGCCTGGAAGTGCGGCACATCCCACACTGGCCCTGGTCTGCTGTCTATTTAGCACAACACAATGTCTCAAAAATGCTATTGTTCAGTTCTATTGAATGAACAAAGGTAAAGACATGTTGACAAATGTAGATGTGCCGACATAACTGCATAATAGTATTAGAATGACTTTGTTACACTTTGTTAATCCCATTTGTGTGAATACGCTTGTTAAAAGTACACTTTTTGAAAAGCACTTATTACAGAAATAATATATTTTAAAAGAATATACTTAAAGTCCCCCTGGAGTCAATATCCCTTAAAACTCATCTTTGATCACCAAAATGACAAATGTAAAAGTTTTTTCCTTGAAATTTTTTTCTTAATGCCTTAAAATAGCTTGAATGTAAGTCTACACCCTTGCCTCATTTAGTATACGCGGGTCTATGAATATGCAAATTAGCCCCGCCTCCACTCACTCACACCAGCGCAGAGATCCACTCGCTGACGGTCACACGTTGACCCGGGGTGCGTTTCCCCGAAAGCATCGTTAGCCAACTATGGTCGCAAGTTGGTCGCAAATCCCATTGAACTCTATTGACGGAACTTGCGAGCATAGTTGGCTAACGATGCTTTCGGGAAACGCACCCCTGATTGATTACAAGGTAGTTTGTGACGTCAGAAACACTAGCAATTTCAAACTGTGTTTTTAAGACTGTCTTTGGTTCACTGCAGTTTTAAAGAGAAAATACTCAGCAATGGTGTTGACTTATGAATTTGCACAAGGTTTGTCTTAAACCACATTAAAAACACCACACAGGCATATTAACAACATTAAAAGATTGATTTTCACCACAGGGGGACATTAAATGTGAACTGAATGTAATGTTTTAGACGCTTACATGCTAGTGCTTTTTTTGACCCACTTAAGTAGTAATTCTATAATTCTATTGCCTTTGAAATATGGTTAAAGTGTAGGCTACTGCAGAAGTACTGAAGCATTTGTGGTAAACTAAAATATAGCCTATACTTTAATGTCAGTCCTATTAAAACATGCATGAATTTAAATGTATAGTTTTTTTAATTTTAATTTGAAGTACACTAAAAGTGCACATTCAGTAGTTACTTTTTCACAAAAGTATGACTGTAACAGGCCTATTATTTTAGCTCTACCTAGCTTTTTTTTAGGGTATCTGCTAGCAACTAGTTGATGAAAGCGGCTGTTTAAACCCAACCACACTTTAAAAACGACACTATATCTGCCTTACCTTTAAAAATGGTAAATGATTCAAGGGAAGCATAAAAAGGAATGTTATTTGGGCAGATAGTCAGGCTCAGACGAGCGTCGACATTCACACAGACTGCTGAGAATCGTGTTTCTCTCAGCATCCCGACTGAACATGTGACTTTGATTCCACCTAGTGGCGGGAAACTGCATCTCCCCCTCCCAGACAGTTGAGCGTTGCATTAATGTCAAACGAATCATTTAAAAAAATAATTATGCTAATTACCTCCAGCTATGATGATCCTGTTATGAAGATACTCCTTACTAAAATATAAAGTCAGCTATGTATTGATATATAGTCTATGATTATTTAATTCTTTTTTCTATCTGATCCGCTAGCACAACTTTGCATCCCTATTGTATCTTGAGTATTGAAGCTTTCAAATAGAATATTGTCAAGATTAATTAACAATCATGCTCAACACACACACACACACACACACACACACACACACACACACACACACACACACACACAAATGGTAGTGCAATGGTATTCTTTGAAGCACCTTGGGGTAGCCTATATAAAACACTTTGGTTGGCCATATATCAAAGTACTATGGTATCACCATCTACTGGGACTGGTTTCTGCTCTTGCCATTTTCTTGCTGTATTATACTTTGAAATAATATCCTGAATGGAAATTGATGGTTCACATTTGCAATCTATATTTGCAGATCATTTTGTGTGTACAAATCCATTTTTATATCTCCTCTAGGAGTTGGAAAACTATCGTGCGGCTATGCATAAGATGGCGGATGACATCATCGGCCTGCGCTCTCAGTTGAGCGGACTGGAGTCTGAGAACGGTCGGCTCCGGCATGACCTCTCCCGCCATCAGGACCTGGGCCAAAGCCTGCTGGACGACACCGACGCGGACATCATGACCAAGACCGAGATTGCTGACCGGATCGGTAGAATTTCTCCCACTATAATCTCATTTTAAAAGCATAGGCCTATCATTAGTCAAGGTTAACCAGTCAAAAATGTTCTTCGGATAAAATCATCTCAGTTTTCTATCTCATAATATCATCCTGGCATAATTTATTACATTTTTAAATTTGAAAACTTGCCGCCACAATGTCAGAAAGTCAATAGCGCAAACTAATGCTAATGTACTAATGCTAATGTGTGATGATGTTAGCTAATGATTTGCAGTTATCATTCATGTCCGTAGTAGCTACAAACTATCACATTACACTCTGATTAGTATAACATTAAGTATTAGCAATAGTTGGCTTATAGCAAACACTATTAAGGTTAACACCATTAGCAAATGATTTGAAGTATCATTCATGTCTTTACCACACAACCCGATCTCAAGGCAATTCGTACGTATTTTACGAGGTGGCTAATTTGTACGACCTCACTGTGCGATTTTTGCTAAATCGTACGTATTTTACGTTATTTTTGCCCAATTCACATGAATTCGTACGAATGACCTACCCCTGACCCCGCCCCTAAACCTACCCTTCACTGGGGTTTAGCCAAATCTGACGAATTCGTACGAATTAGCCACCTCTTAAAATACGAATTGGTCGTGAGATAGCTTTGGACTGACTGCTCTGAAGATTGTTAGGCTACTTTTGGTAAATACCAGCAATAGTTAGCTTGCTTTTTCTTAGTGTTATATGGATGATTTTTAGCGCATGAGTTGAGGTATTACTTATGTTCGTAGCGCGAACTAAAAAATTACACTAATTTTAAGTAGTCAGCTTACTTATCAAACACCACTAAGCTGTTCTGACTGGTTTTTAGCTATCATTCCTGCCCATAGCAAAAATGAACAAATTATGCTCCGATATACCTTACGATAAGTTATTAGCAATAGTCGGCTTACTAACACCACTAAGGTGTTCTAAGGGGGTTTTACTGGCAAGTGATTTTAGGTATTATTCATGTCTGTAGCATGAACATACAAATTATGGTCTGATTAATTCTTAATAATTTTTAGTAATAGTTTGTTTGCTTAGAAAACACCACTAAGGTGTAATGAGTGAGTTTTAGCATGTATGCTTTGTATCATTCATGTCCGTAGTTCGCATAAACTTACAAATTATCTCCTTACTTAATGGTAAGTATTCTTGCTTAGCAAACAACACACTATGGTAGTCTGAATGGTTTTTAGCAGAAATGATCAACAGTTATAATTCAAAACTAGCATAATACTTAATGGTAGCATTAGCAATAGTTAGCTTGCTAGAGTTAGTTAACAGTGCTAATTAACATGGAGAGATGATGTTCATATGTACATGCAGAAAAAATTAAACAACATCAGACAAAAGTTTTGGGAAGCGACTCTTGGAGTATCACATTTCAGATGTTAAAAGTTGAGCCTGAAGTGATTTGCACAGGTTTCATGTCCTCTGAGCTGTGCTGAGGATTGATAAGACTTCTCATTTAGCTAAGGGAATCTGATAAGCACTTACTGGCTTATCTGCTGAAGGACAGTTTGTGTCCCTCACACACTCATATGCACACAAACACAAGGCTCCGCTTAAAGGACACGTCAAAGACCTTTGAGGCCTTCAAAGCAAATGCAGGCTTTAATTTCCTCTCTCTCTGGTGAATGCACTGCTTGGCTTTCAGGGGTTTCGTTTCTGGAATGTTTTCTCCAAAAATATCTCCACAGTGTCATGGTCACACCATTTGTTGATGTTTCTGCAATGCTCAGAAAACAGATTTTGTCTTAACCATAAATACTTCATATTAAATTATATATATTCAATTTAATAGAAACAGAAATATATATGTCCCCATCTACACTGTAAAAAATGTACTGGTAATTTTCTGCCAGGACATTATCCAGTAATTTTACAGAAATTTCCGTAAACCCTTAAACACAACCTAATGCAATGTTTAATTCAAAATACAGGTAAAACACCTGTTAAAAAAAAAAAAAAAAAAAAAAAAAATACGGAAAATTCCTTCATGATTAATTAGAAAAAAACAATGCATAATTCAATGTAATACAGTACACTATAAAAAAAGGCTGGGTTGTTTCAACCCAACTTTGGGTCAAATATGGACAAACCCAGCCGTTGGGTTACATTTTTAAATTGCATTTTTAATCCAACGTTTGGGGTTGTCCATATTTGACCCACAATTGCGTTAAAACAACATTTTTTAGTGTTCGTTCAATCAAGATTTTTAGACCACATTTCAGAAACCATTCATTCCGAAATCCAGATTATTCAAATGGATTCACATTGAAAAGCTGTTCTGTGAACAAACGCTTTTGAAACGCAACTGTACTCATACTCATATTTTGTACTACACTATAAAAATGCTGGGTTGTTTCAACCCAACTTTGGGTCAAATATGAACAAACCCAGCCGTTGGGTTACATAAATTGCATTTTTAATCCAACGTTTGGGTTTGTCCATATTTGACCCAAAGTTGGGTTGAAACAACCCAGCATTTTTTAGAGTGTACAATTCAATGTTTAATTCAATGTATACAGTACATTGTGCCCTATTTTTACGGACTTTTTTTAGTGTAACCGGGAAGTTTCTCCGAAGTTTAGCTAACGTTCTGGCAAGTTCTCTCAAAGTTATGAACAATCGTTCTTGAATGTTCGTCTAAAGCTCTCTGGTCTTTAATAACGTTCTTAAAACGTTAGCACAAAAACGTGATTTATACATCTTTCATAGAAACCTTTTCTAAAACATTTTAGTTTGAACGTTTTTTTTTTTATGTTACTTGTTTCAGAATGTTTTAAGAATATTCAAAAGTAATGTTTCCATAATGCTTGTAAAATTATTAAATGGAATGTTCCCTTAACGTTAGCATAACCAAGAAAAGTGTTCTTAAATGTTTGGCACATTCAGAGAACATTTAGAAATAACCGTTTCATAACTTAATGGGAACATTCACTAAACATTTTTAGAACATCTTGGGTTTGTAATTAAAAGAAAGATTAATTTTTGAAAATATTTTATACAGTAATGGTCTTTTTCATTGTCATTGTAACATGTTTGCTGGTTCATTAAGCACTCATTAATCTTCTACGGCACTTTCTGCAGCCTCTCTGAAGTTCAAGCTCTCCAGTGAAAGCAGCAAAGCCGCTGCCCAGAAGGACAGAATCCAACAGCTTCAAAACGAGCTCATCAGGGTGGGTTAATCAAGGCCGGTCTCCCTCAAATCATGTCAAGTTTTTAATAAAAGCTGCATCCGTGCTCAGAGACCGCGTGTTTCCTTTCTGAAGCTCAAGGGGTCCATTGACTGGCATGCATTTGTGATGTTTGCTGGCAGTTAGGGGATGCTGTATCAAATGCATTAATGGTTTCCTCCCAAGATCATTGATTGGATCAGGTCATTGAATTTGTCTCCAGACTGCATGGCATATTGCTTGTTGTATTTGATACAAAGCTAAAAATACAGAAGGCTGGCTGGAGCCTTAACAGACCCCTGGCAATTGAGTTAACCCACTGCATGGACTCATTGAGCCTGAGGTTTTAGCTCTTTATTTTGCTCATTGCAGAAGAACGACATTGAGAAAGAGTTTGTCCAGCTGCAAAGAGCACATCAACAGCAGCAGGCGGTGCTAAAAAGATATCAGGCCCGTGGCAGTAAGATAACTGTGCTGGAGGATACAGTTCGCCAACAGGAAAAGGTATTTAGCTCTTCTGTACATCAAAACGCTGTTTCTGTCATTTTTCGACCACCAAACAATCAAGCCATCATTTTACATTTATTCATTTAGCTGACGCTTTTATCCAAAGCGACTTACAATTGCTATATATGTCAGAGGTCGCACGCCTCTGGAGCAACTAGGGGTTAAGTGTCTTGCTCAGGGACACATTGTTGTCTCACAGTGGATTTGAACCCGGGTCTCTCACACCAAAGGCATGTGTCTTATCCACTGCGCCATCACCACCCGAACCTCCGCGGGGAGGTTCGGGAACCACCACCCGAACCGCGGAACCACCACCCGAACCTCCATCAAAACGCTCAGTTTGTTTGAGCATCCTGAGTTTAGGACAAAAGAAAAATTCACCCCAAAATTAAAATTCTGTCATCATTTCTCACTCATATGTCATTCTAATAGTGTTATTTTAGTAAATAACACTATTAGAAGCTCCTAAAAGGACATAAAGGTGCCGTGAAATGAAGACTCAAGTGGTTTAATCCAAGTCCTCTGAGGACATATGAACGGTGAAAAAATAATAATTGCTTCGTTTTTTTAGGTGCATTGACTGCATTCATGAAAAAAATCCCTCCACGTTCTTGGTTATGGTTGGTTGAACTATTTCTTTACATATCTAGCAAGGATCTGATGTGTAATGTGTTGTATTGTGTTTTAATTCACTGTGCAGGTCATTGAGAAGATGGAGAAAATATTGGATGCGAAACTGAAGGAAATAAACAAAGGATATTCAGAGAAGAAGAGAACAGCTGTGAAACAGAAAGGTGTGCCTTTACACCAGCTTTTAATGGTAACACACACACACACACACACAAAAAAAAAACATTTCAGTTATAATTTATTGGTCAGAGCCATGGCTTAGTGTTTGTGGTGCTCATGTTGGAAATTTGGGTTCGAGTCTGTCCTGCGTCATGCCCTAAAAACTGTCTCTCTCTGTCTCCATTATTTCAAGTCCTCTTACTACTCTCTTTATCAATAAAAAGTGTGAAAAGCTTTTCAGAAATTAATCGTGCCGTTGTATATAGATGAAGAGCAGCTCAAGAGTAGAGAGATCGAGTCTGTGCTGGCGGCAGAAAACTCTCGACTCCGAGCAGAGCTGGACAGGCAACGTAATCTACCCCCACCTATCATCATCCAGCCGCCTGTGCAGGTGAACCCCCAGCTTCCCCTCAAACTGCCATCCCAGACAGCAGACACAGAGATCCGGCCCACATCTGCCACGCGTTGAATCCACACGTACCAGATGTGGCCCGGATCTGGGCCGACACTATGTTGCTGTCTGGGGTTCTGCATGAATGCTTTATTGTGCACATTTTATTAATGGTTTTGATCTCAGTCCCATCAGCCTTTCTCAGACAGCGAGAAGCTGGACTTATTGACGCAGCTGGCGAGAGCTGAGGGTCGAATCCAGACACTGGAACAACAGGTTTGATCCTTTAATACTGTGAGAAGACATTTCACTTTCACACACAGTGTAAATTATTGGTTGGGGTGCAGTGGTTGGTGCGAGCGCTCTTTACACATTGAGCTGTTGTGCTTATGTGGGTGATTGAGGTTCGAGTCAGGCCAGTGACTTTTCCCATTTGTTCTTTCTTTCCCATATAATTTCCTATATCATATTGTTACCAAAGAAGCAAAGTTTACACACCCACACTGGAACAAGACACTTCAGTCAACACAAGAAATTGTAATAAATAATGTTTTTTTGAACACTGCAGTGTTTGTGTTTGTGATATTGGTCATTTGCGCAGCTGAAAGAGAACTCCAGACAATGGGGGAAAGAGAAACAAGACATGTTGACCAGACTCAGTGAATATGAACATGGATTCACTCGAACATCACCCATGATTCTTTTTGATCTGCCCGTGGTGAGTAAATAACTATGGAAGCTTGTTTCCGCCACTGAATAAAATAAATAAATAAATAATTGCGACTTTTTATCTCACAATTGCGAGATATGATGTCAGAGTTGTGAGAAATAAAGTCGCAATTGCGAGATATAGTCGCAATTCTGAGAAATAAAGTCGCAATTGCGAGAAAAAAAAGACAGAATTGACAATTCTGACTTTTTTTCTCACAATAGGCTTTATGCACAGCTTCACTACTTCCTGAACTTCAGCCAGCCCTTTGTTTCCTGTCTGTCATTATTGGACAAACTGATTAATCCAGGTGTGCCTGATTATTGTTACTGAGGCCAGGCACACCTGGATTAATCAGTTTGTCCAATAATGACAGACAGGAAACAAAGGGCTGGCTGAAGTTCAGGAAGTAGTGAAGCTGTGGCATAAAGCCAATTGCGAGTTTACATCTCGCAATTCTGACTTTATAACAAATAATTGCGAGCTTATATCTCGAAATGCTGACATCTTTTCTCAGAATTGTGAGATATAAACTCGCAATTGCGAGTTATCAGGCCAGTTCTAAGGAAAAAAAAGACGGACTTTTTTTCCCTCAGAATAGTTTATATCTCACATTTCCGACTTTATAACACGCAATTGCAACTTTATATCAATCAATTCTGACTTTATATCTCGCAATTCTGACTTTATAACACGCGATTGCGACTTTATTTCACGCAATTCTGACTTTACAACACGCAATTGCGACTTTATATCAATCAATTCTGACTTTATATCTCGCAATTCTGACTTTATAACCTGCAATTGCGACTTTATATCAATCAATTCTGACTTTATATCTCGCAATTCTGACTTTATAACACGCAATTAAGTTGTTTTGATTGATACTGTGAAGCAGCTTTGATACAATCTGTATTGTGAAAAGCGCTATATAAATATATTTGACTTGATTTGACTTGACAATTGCGACCTTATTTCACTCAATTCTGACTTTATATCTCGCAATTCTGAGAAATAAAGTCAGAATTGCGAGATGTAAACTCGCAATTGTGAGAAAAAACGTCTCGGTTACGTATGTAACCCTCGTTCCCTGAGTACAGGGAACGGAGACGTGTCGTCGGGGAGTTCCCTGACGAATTGGGATCACGCTAGGGAGACCAATTGCCTTCGAGTGAATTAAAACGAGCCAATGAAAATTGGCATGCAAGGTTTGCATTCCGCGACCCGCCTACCAACGCGGGTATAAAGGGCGGAAGTAAACATTGCGCAATGCTTTTCGCTGAGGAGCCGAACGGTGTCCAGTCCTCCGCGAAGGTACAGCAACATGGCGAAGGGACGACACGTCTCCGTTCCCTGTACTCAGGGAACGAGGGTTACATACGTAACCGAGACGTTCCCTTTCGTCCTGGGAACTCCAACGTGTCGTCGGGGAGTTCCCTGACGAATTGGGATCCCTAACAAAACGCCATGGTGCTGGCCCCTTCCAGCGCCCAGCTAAGCTACCCTAAGCAGTTTCACAAATTACGGGAGCAAGCAAGGGAGTCACACTGCTGTTCCGCAAGACCCACACAGTGGATTGGATAACACTGGGAAAGCGTGCCCAACCCGTAAAAGGGGGAAGGGAACGCTGCGGAAGCCAGATGCCTGAAGAAGGCCTGGAATACACATATGTACTAGCCCAGGGGGATAGTGAAACATATGGCAGTCCCTGAGGTAGTCCCCTCCAAGGGGAGTGGGAGCGTACTCAACAGGGACGACAGAACGAGTCTGTCAAGGGGAAGACACGGCTGGACTGCACGTGGCATAATGGGTCACCGAAGAGACCACTGGACATAACACCCAGTCTACACAACAACTCCCTTAGAGGTAGTAGACCTGGCGCCGGCGGTCCGCCACGCCTGGCACCGAAGGGGTGATGGAGGAACTCACGAGGCTAACCAACGTAGGGCGCCAACGGAGCGAAAGACGCACGTATCCGGCTGAGGCACGGAGTGGTGTAGCAAGCCGACACAACCTATTCCCTCGCACCACTGGCCGTAGAGAGTACTCGGGAGGAAACAGGTTCCACACGTAGGCTATAGAACCTAGCGAACGTGTTCGGTGTCGCCCAGCCCGCAGCTCTACAAATGTCTGTCAGCGAGGCGCCTTGAGCCAATGCCCAGGAGGCGGCAACACCTCTCGTAGAGTGAGCATGCAACCTGGGAGGACAAGGCTCACACGTAGCTTCATACGCTTGGGTGATAGCATCCACTAACCAGTGAGCTAACCTCTGCTTGGAGACGGCCTTCCCCTTCTGCTGGCCTCCGTAACAGACAAAGAGCTGATCTGAGGACCTGAAGCTTTGCGTTCTGTCAGTGTAAACCCGCAGGGCGCGGACTGGACAGAGAAAAGCTAGGGCTGGGTCTGCCTCCTCCTGGGACAGCGCTTGCAGGTTCACTACCTGATCCACGAAGGGAGTGGTAGGAACCTTGGGCACATATCCGGGCCGGGGTCTCAATATCACGCGAGAAAGGCCCGGCCCGAACTCTAGGCACGATTCGTCGACCGAAAAAGCCTGCAGATCCCCGACCCTCTTAAAAGAGGCCAATGCCAACAGGAGCGCTGTCTTAATGGACAGGATATTCAGCTCCACTGTCAGCAAGGGCTCCAAGAGGGTACAGAGCGCAAAACACGAGGTGGATTTAACCTCCTAGCACCCTTGAGGAATCTGATGATCAGGTCGTGCTTCCCCACGGACTTACCTTCTACTACATCGTGATGTGCGGCTATTGCGGCAACATACACTTTGAGGGTGGAGGGAGACAGCCTTCGCTCCAACCCATCTTGTAGGAAGGAAAGCACGACTCTGACCGGGCAAGTTCGGGGGTCCTCCTGGTGGGAGGAACACCACACGACGAATAGGTTCCACTTCAACGCATAGAGGCGCCTCGTAGAGGGGGCTCTAGCAGAAGTGATGGTGTTTACCACTGCCTGTGGTAGATCACCTAGAACCTCCGCGTCCCGTCCAGGGACCAGACATGGAGTTTCCAGAGGTCTGGACGCGGGTGCCACAGAGTGCCCCGTCTCTGAGAAAGAAGGTCCTTCCTCAGAGGAATCGGCCAAGGAGGGGCTGTCGTGAGGAGCATGAGTTCCGTGAACCAAGTCCTGGTGGGCCAATACGGCACCACTAACAGGACCTGCTCCTCGTCCTCCCTGACCTTGCACAGTGTCTGTGCAAGAAGGCTCACTGGGGGAAACGCATACTTGCGCAGGCCCAGGGGCCAGCTGTGAGCCAGGGCGCCCGTGCCGAGGGTCCCCTCGGACAGGGAGTAAAACCACTGGCAATGGGTCGTGTCCGGAGAGGCAAACAGGTCTACCTGTGCGACTCCGAAAACACTCCAGATCAGCTGAACCGCCTGGGGATGGAGTCGCCATTCTCCTGGCAGGGGAGGCAACCGTGAAAGCTCGTCTGCCACACGGTTGAGCTCCACTGGAACATGAGTGGCGCGAAGCGACCTCAGATGCTTCTGACTCCATAGGAGGAGGTGGGAGGCGAGTCGCGACATGCGACGGGAGCATAGACCACCTTGTCGGTTGGTGTACGCAACGGTCGCAGTGCTGTTTGACGGACCAGTACGTGCTTGTCTTTGAGAAGCCCCTTGAGGCGGCACAAAGCCAAGCGTACTGCTTGCAACTCTAGGCAGTTGATATGCCAATGCAGCTGGGGCCCCATCCACAGACCCGAGACTGCATGCCCTTTGTACGTGGCCCCCCACCCCATGGCAGAGGCATCTGTGAAAACCACAGCATGCCTGGAAACCTGGACTAGGGGCACTCCGGCCCGTAGAAATGCAGGATTCGACCACGGGGAGAAGGTTTGGCGACAGTGCAGGGTTAATTTCACCCGGAACGTGCCGCTCTGCCACGCCCACCTCGGGACTCGATCGTGAAGCCAGTGCTGGAGCGGTCTCATATGTAACAGGCCGAGCATCATTACTGCGGCTGCCATGTGCCCCAGGAGCCTCTGAAATTGTTTCAGTGGAACCGCTGTCCTGCCTCGAAAAGACCTGAGGCAGGTGAGCACTGACTGGACGCGCTCCTCCGTGAGGCGCGCAGTCTGGGCGACCGAGTCCAACTCCATACCGAGATAAGAGATCCTCTGCATGAGGCAGAGTTTGCTCTTGTCCCAGTTGACCTGAAGCCCCAACCGGCTGAGGTGCCGTAGCACCATGTCCCTGTGATCGCACAACACATCTCGCGAGAGCCAGAATGAGCCAGTCGTCGAGATAGTTGAGAATGCGAACGCCTTGTTCTCTCATGGGAACAATGGCCGCCTCCGCGACTTTCGTGAAGACGCGGGGCGACAGGGCCAGCCCGAAGGGTAGGACTTTGTACTGATACGCTCGACCCTCGAAAGCAAACCGTAGAAATGGTCTGTGTCGAGGAAGAATCGAGACGTGAAAGTACGCGTCCTTCAGGTCGATCGCTGCAAACCAATCCTGGGGACGGATGCATTCGAAAATGCGCTTCTGCATGAGCATTTTGAACGGGAGTTTGTGCAGGGCCCGATTCAAAACTCGCAGGTCCAGGATTGGTCGTAACCCACCGCCTTTCTTGGGTACAATGAAGTAGGGGCTGTAAAACCCGGACCTCATCTCGGCAGGAGGGACCGGCTCGATCTCGCCTTCGCCAGCAGGACATCGATCTCTTTCCGCAGGACAGGGGCATCCACTGACCGCACACGGGTGAAGTGGATGCCCCTGAACCTGGGAGGCCGGCGTGCAAACTGAATTGCATAGCCGAACCGAATGGTGCGGACGAGCAATCGGGACAGACCCGGAAGCGCTAGCCAGGCTTCTAGGTACCGACCCAATAAGCCCACCCGAACCACCGGCGTACCCGCGGAGGGGCAGCGAGGTGGAAGACCGGGACCTGGCTCCAGTGGCAATGTAGCCACTGGAAGCGGGGTCTGGGCGGTCCACCGTGGGGCAGACGGCAGAGAGAACTCGTAGGCTTTCTGCTGCGGGCTGCCCTGTGGCGAAGGGAGGGGGAGAGACGAAGAACGAGGCCCTGACTCCTCGTGTCCTGGTCTCTGCGCCTCCGGGCCCAGCTGCAGACCGGAGTGACGCAGCCGAGGCTGCGTCACTGCTATCTGCAAGCTGGGGAGAGGGGAACGGGAGTGGTGCAGCTCGGGGGCGGCACACACTGCCATTCTGACCCTCTCGGACGAAGGAAACTGGTCTTATTATACTGCCAGTCTCGACCGTGAGGGGAAACGAGGAACGAGGCCCGGGGGCATCGAGTCCTGGTTTCCCCTCACCCAGCGAGAGACGAGAGTGACAAGGCCGCAGCCCTCACTGCCATCTGAGCGCTGGGGCCCGTGAACGACTCAGAGGAAGTGGACTGCTCATGGGTACCGCTGATTACAGGATAACCAGCGGCGGAACAGAAACGAAATTCTCCACCCGGCCCTCCCCCGGGGGAAGGAGTGGTGATGACACGCACTCCCAAAGAGCAGAACGTCACATACTCTGGGTCGCTCCTCTCAGGGTTGTTTTCCTTCCCTTTGCTGGGGGAAAACAAACTCCGAGCGGGCTGACTTTGAGGTGCTTCTGGACCACAGTGTGGACATCGTCTAACCGAGGGCCAGCGCTGTGACTAATCACGGTCAGTCACTAAGCACAGCTCAACCCCGAGTTAGAACTACGCACGTGCAGTGGTAGTGAGAGAGGAAAAACTTCTGCAGATTTAGGCATGTTTGGCTTGCCATATTGGCACCAAAAAGCTTCCATACTGCCAAAATTCTTCACACACATCCAGGCGCTTTAGAACAGCCCAGGAAAGTGTGGCCGTTAAGTCTGAATCTTCAGCATGAGAACACACCATTATAGTAGGAACTCAGCATCATTTTCAGAGTATAACCGCCCTCTCTCCGATGTAGCGATCGACATCTGTCCTCCCTGGGGCTCCGAATGAAATGCCTGGTCCCTCATGAGAAGGACCAGAAACCCATTCGAAAGCCTCGATGGCACACGGCACGCTGAGCTGCTCCAACCTTTACGAAAAAGGGGAGGCGAACAACGTGCCGACGTGGTCATGCACTCCTAAGAGAACATGAACCACCCACGAACGCAGTCTCAACACACTGATTAGGCATGTGAAACCGTGATCGTGGCCGTCAACCAGGCATGCAAGATAGTGAACGTGGCCATCGCTTCGATGACACACGGCACGCTGGACGCTCAAGCCCTCAGGCAGGCGAACAACGTGCCGACGTGGTCATGCTCTCATAAGAAAGCATAAACCACCCACGAACACAATCTCAGCATGTTTGCGATGCGCTAGAGGAGTGAGTGGTTCGTGCTCACTGAAACCCTCAGATCACCAATGTTATTCGCCAAAGTAGCCCTCCTCTGGTGCACCAGAAGAGAACTGGATCGGGAAATAAGCAAAGGGACTCACCTCATAGAGGCACGCGAGTCTTGATCTTGACCACGCATCTTGAGCGCCGAATGACGCGCGCTGGGTTGCCGTGACAACCAGCGCTGTCAGCCGGCGCTCGACGGCACACGGCACGCTGAGCTGCTCCAACCTTTACGAGAAAGGGGAGGCGAACAACGTGCCGACGTGATCATGCACTCCTAAGAGAACACGAACCACCCACGAACATAATCTCACACACTGATTAGGCATGTGAAACAATGAACGTGGCCGTCAAATAAGGACAGGAAACGATCGCATCCAGAAACACACAAGTGAAACGTCATCCTGAAAAGGACGCGATCTTCACTCGTGTTGCTCTTTCAGGAAGAAAGTACTCTCTCTATCGTGCTGAAGCACACAGGGACCCAACGCGGCAACACAGCGGGGAAACTGCAAGCCCGCTGTGCGCACTCAACCGTTTACCAGCTGTGAAAACAGCTTTTTGAATTAACAGCATATAGACGCAGCCGGCAGACAGGAAACCGCGCGGTCGCTGAAACGCCATCTCACCAACACAGAGAGATCCCCTCCCGAAACAGCAGACTCGTAGTTGTAAGAAAGATACATTTCTTAAAGCTCACTCACTCAGAGAGGACACAATCGGACGGCTCCGAAGCTAAAAGCATTGCGCAATGTTTACTTCCGCCCTTTATACCCGCGTTGGTAGGCGGGTCGCGGAATGCAAACCTTGCATGCCAATTTTCATTGGCTCGTTTTAATTCACTCGAAGGCAATTGGTCTCCCTAGCGTGATCCCAATTCGTCAGGGAACTCCCCGACGACACGTTGGAGTTCCCAGGACGAAAGGGAACTCAGAATTGTGAGATAAAAAGTCGCAATTACCTTTTTTATTTTTCATTCTGTGGCGGAAACAAGCTTCCATAAATAACTGCTATGTATTTAAACTTATGATTATTATTATTATATTTGTTTGACCCGTGGAAATGTATATACTATATCAATGGTATCGTCTATTGAGTCGTCCTTTTTTATTTCCTAACAGAAAAGTCTGAGTGATTCTGTATTAGGACATTCTCGATACAGGCAACTGGAACCTCTGAAGTGATCACGTCAAATCAATGTTAGTATTTTGCAAAATATTTTTTGGGGAAAAAAGTGTATTTTTAATATAAAAAACATCATAACATTTTTATGTGCCAATTTTCATTTATTCAGATTAATTCAAAGCGTCTCATTTGTAAACAAAATGATTTATGCACGAAATCCAGCATAAACTCCGCATCCATATTTTTAAACTCTCAAGACAGTTGTTATAGCCTATATATGTTAAACATTTAATTTTGGATGTGTTCATTGTGATATGGCGGACGGACGATGAGTTTTGTGATGCGGTTGCGGATGAAATAATAGCCCATCCGCGCATCTCTATTCCAAACACAAAAAGATGTATTTAGAAAAATATCTTTTTTTTTTATGTTGTTTTGAACATTCTTCAAAATATCTTCTTTTATGTTCCAGGTTAGAATGACATGAGGGCGAGTAAATGATGACACAACAATCCCTTTAAGATCATGAGAAACTTAAATTGAGTCCAATCTTTTGACAGGCATTACATCTCAAAGACGGATCTAAAGCTCAGAGTCGCATCCAGTTCAGTCCTCGACATCATTTGCAGCTCTGCAATCTGCTGGCGTTCAGTGGTTTGATGGTCAGTATGATGGGCTTCTCGGGCAGTAAGATGAGCTCAAACGTGCTCCTGACCTCCACCTGCCTCTGCTTCTCAAACCTGAAGTTCTCCAGCATCTATAAAAATGGAAAAAACCCCCCCCGACAAATAAGAAAGAGAATCAGCCCAACGTTATTTAGCCACTTAAGAGGATATGATGTTCCTCGCTTTAGAAATCCACATACATGAATAAGGAAGAGCTGCATCTCTGTCTCAGCGATCCTGCGGCCCAAACACTGGCGTGGGCCGAACCCGAAGCTCAGGCTCTTGAAGTAGTGGCTCTGGGATCTGACCCAGCGAGCGGGACGGTATTGCTCTGGGTGCGGGAAGACCCGATGATCGCGACCCATAGCATACAGACCCAGCTGAACTAAAGTCTGATCCAGACAGACAAGAGAACAGTCGTATTTTGTCCAGTTTGTCGTGAACGAATTCAGTAATTTCCTTAAATTCACACTCACCCCAGCTGGAATGTGGTAATTTTGAAGGACGATGTCTTCAGTGATGTATCTTTGTAGACTCACGGCTACAGGATGTAACCTTCATAAGAAATTATATGATTTTAGACACATGGTAAAGCCAAATGCTTGTCACATTTATTCACATTTATTCGTTTCTTCACTAATTTGAACAACAAAAAGTTTTAATCGATAAAGCTTATTTGTTGTCAATATTGTTGCTTGTGGTAAAACTGACAACATTGTAATTTGTGTAAAAATTGACAAATCAATTTCACACATTAAATATTGAAATGGTTTATAATTATATCACTGTAAAAGTCTATTTTAAAAACAATATTTTTATGATGGATATATATATATATATATATATATATATATTAGTGTTGTCAAATCGATTCATCGCGATTAATCACATCTAACATAAAAGTTTGTTTATATATATAGTATATGCATACCGTATATGTATGTACTGTATATATACAGTATATATACAGTATATATATATATATATATATATATATATACACACACACATATTATATTGATTAATCGATTTGACAGCAGTAGTAGCCTATGTATACATACATACTGTGCTGGGTAACTGATTATTTGTAATTGAATTCTGTAATCAGATTACAAAAATGAAGTACTTGGATTATATTTCATTTTAAAATTCAGTTAGAAAATTATTCATAATTTATTGATTCTCCCCAATTCTTATTTTTAATTTTCCATCCTAAAAAAGCCTATCACTTATAATACTGTATGTTTAGAAAGTCTTCTAGATTTGTGGAATTACACACACAGTGGCTTTAACCTTGAACAAAGAGACAACATATTTAATAAAAATCAACTCCTGAAAAACTAGAGTCCCTATAGTTGAACAGAAAGGTGTTTTATGCCATTATATCTTGGAGTGAACTGTTTGTATACCTTAAAGTTTCCTTCAGGGCTCCTTTAAGCAGAGGAACCGTCTTAAGCATCTGCATCACGTCTCCTTTAGAGGCGATACGAGCAGCCGAGATTTCCGCCCGGATCTCCTCCTGCAGGTCCGGGTGTCGGGCCAACTCATAGAGCGTCCACATCAGTGTGATAGACGTCTGACGCACACAAAAATACAGACAATATCCCAATACATCAACCTTGAAAACATTTTGATTAAACACACTTTATATAACCCGAGTTCATATTCTGTAATACCACCCCAAAATTAAAATATATAATAATTTACTCAATCATGTCATTCTCTTACTTCTGTGAAACACACAAAAAAGATGCTTTGAAGAATGTTTTTGTCCATGCAATGAAAGTCAATGGGGTCCAATGTTGTTTGTTTTGGACCCCATTGACTTTCATTGTATGGACAAAAACATTCTTCAAAATAACTTCTTTTGTGTTCTGCAGAAGAAAGTCATACAGGTGTGGAATGACATGCGGGTGAGTAAATTATGGCATTTTTATTTCTGGATGAACTATTCCTCTAGCGTTGATTATTTATCTTACCGTGTCGACCCCTCCGGCCATCAGCTCCGTGACACTGGCCTTTATGTCCTCGATGGACAGTTTGTCCAGCATTAGAAGGCTAGCCAGCACACCAGGGTACTTCCCGCTGGCTTCTGGATCTTTCCTCAACTGTCGGTAGATATTCTGGATACATCGGTCGGCTTTGGGAAAACCACATTGAGGGATGAAAAATCAGTGGAAGTTTCAAGAGGAAAGGCCCTGATATTCACAGTTAATATATATCAGAGCCTGGAGTGTTTCTCGCCAAAAAGACCAGAATGAATTTCATCCCATGCAACCAGTGTCGTTTTACCCTGGTTAAAGATGCCGTCCCAGGCCTCCACGTGGTCCTTCCAGATTTTGGCCCCCATGCGGCGGAGCAGGGCCGGAGGGAAGAACAGCATGGGCGAGGTGGTCTTGAACATGACGGTGATGCAGTCGATGAAGTGCTGGGCATCTGGATCAATGTAGTCCATCAGCAGACCCAAACGCTCACCGTACAACACAGCACTCACGGCTGAGGGGAACAAATAGGGTTAGCTTTCATATCCCCTTCACTTCCACACAAGAATGATACCGAATTTTCAGTTTTGGGTGAACCATCCCTGTAAAAATCATTTGTAATTTTGATTTTAAAAAACCTCTGTTAAATTAATGTAAAAAAAAAAAAAAAAGGTTCTCTTAAGTGCTTAACATTTTGGTAACATTGGGTCATCATAAATAACTTTCTTTTGTCATTTTTCTTGTATACATTTCTCTAATGCAATTTTTAATATTTTAAAATTAATATTACCACGTAATTAGAACAATTTTTGAAACAGACAGAAATTGATATATTCTATAAAAATACCTAAAAAATTAAGTCATTTTGGATTAAATGTAAGGGGAATTTTTTTTAATAAACATTTACCAGAAACATTGTATATCCACCGAACACAATATGTATATATTCACATTTCATTATACAGACATAATAAAATAAGAAAGTTGTGTTTGTTATTGATGGTGTCAAACCTTACATTCCAGTGCGTACTTGAAGAGTTCATGGGACAAATCTGTGGTCCATTCATTTTGTCCACTCCTCTCAATCTTTTTATAGACTCGAGCCACAAAGTCCTGCCCGACCTCATCCAGGAGCGGCACGAAGTTCCCCTGCACCTTCGGGGAAATCACCTCCTTGTTTAGAATGATCCTATTAGATTTCCAGTCCTCTCCATCTCTGCAGGAACAAATCAATATCGTTCACTATTCCAGTAAACGTGGTTGAAGCAGATCTGGAAAGACTCTGCCTACTTTAGCAGGACGCCATATTTGCGGTTCCTGTAGTCCCTGTAGGAGGTCCACGCTTCCACCCGGAGTCTCTTGGGATAGTGACCCTCAGCTTTGAACAGGATAGCAGCGTCTTCAGGCTTGATGATGTTCACACTCTCGTAGTATCCAACTTTTTCCCTGAGCAGATTAATTGTGCAGATATAGGCATCATATAATGTTAGAATATGTTTTCACAATGTTCAGGTGTTTTTGCATGATGCATTTGAGATCCATTTTTTCACACTGAGGACAACTGAGGGACTCGAACACAACTATTAAAAAAAGGTTCATTCCCTGATGCTCCAGAAGGAAACACGATGCTTTAAGAGAGGGGGAGGGGGATTGTCAATCAATCAAACAAACTTTATTTATAAAGCACTTTAATACAACCGAAGTGGACCAAAGTGCTGTAAAAAAAAAAAAAGAGAGAAGTAAACCCATTATGTAAAACATAAAATCCATACTTTATGTAAAAAATATACAAAATGTCAATGTCAGGTGTCAAAGGCCAAGGAGAAAAGGTGGATTTTAAGAAGTGATTTAAAGGGGCTATATGCGTTTTTCTGAAATTTAAACTCGTGACTGACACTTGTGGCCAAAAAACAGAACTGCTCTTCCTTTCTGCTAGCTCTCGCAGTGCTATTTCAATGAACACGAGTTTTATCACGTGTTACCTTTTCAGAAGAAAAAAAGCCATTTCTGGGTCACTTCGTATTCCCAACACAGATCTGAGCCCCCTTCAAGGCTCAAATGCGAAGCCGATGTTCACTCTAGTCCTTGCTCGGCGCCGGTCGCTCTCAATCTTCGATCTTTTTCGGCCACTTGTCAGGGGTTTAACTTTTTTAGTCTTCTGTGGAGTTACTGTTGGTGTCCGAGTTGTCCTGGGTCTCTTCTGTGTATTCGCAAAATCCATTGCACTGCTTGCGAGTGTAGGCTACTTGCTGACTAGCGGTGGTGGCAGAGTGATCTGAAACGTTTAACATGAACGCGCTTGACGTCACATCCGCAGACAGCACGGTAAAAATCCGACCCGACAGAAAATAGGAAAAATAGGATACAGGCTTATAGGTGCACCCACTGTGAGCGGACAAGGTGTCAGTATGCTCAACAGGAGATGTTTGAGTCATAAATGGTAAAATAAAAAGGCTATTGTTACGTTTATTTTGGGGAAAAAGTTGCATATAGCCCCTTTAAAAACAGACAGTGAAGAGGCTTGTCTAATGGGAAGAGGCAGATCG